TGAGAGCAGATTTCTATTCATTACATCATGCCTAGTGTGCTTGTTTAAACAGTTGTCTGCAAAAAGTGTTGAAACATTGTTTGTTTAAGTGACTTTAAATGCAGCTAAATAGATACTTTGAACTTGAAATAGGTTTTTAAAGCTGTAGATAACAGTTTGCTTCAGAAGAAAAGTTGTTTACGACTGAAGCTAATGCAAAGTCCGCTGTCCCAGTAGATTTAGACCACTCAAGATGCGCGACTTGTTTCACAAGGATTCGACCTGGTCGAATCTATGCTCAATAACTGTCTATCTTTTTATAGACCAAGTAAGTTGCCAAAACTTTAAAAACAGACTATGAAGATGTAGACCCAGCCACTGAACTACCCAATCAAAATACTTCTACCATGTCAGCAAATGTTCTCAGTTACGGATCTGGTGGCAATTTTAAAAAGGGATCTGGTTTGAAAAATAACACGTTGGTTTGGAAAGTATTTAATTTAAGTATTTAAATGTTACAAAATATATATTTAGAGTAAAATACAATGTTTCTGAGAAATATATGTTGAACAACTTTATAGCAATGTCTGACACAACTGAGATGCTCAACTTGCTTGAAGACTTTTAATTAACATAGTTATCCCCCAAAATCACTCTAAGCTTATTTTATAGCATCGAGGGCTCACCCATAATTACGTCACTCTCGGTTAGGCATCAATCTGCAAATCTTTGATAATGTTTCGTGACAGAATCAAAGCGTTCAGAGACCATATAAAAAGCTTGAAGAGGAAAATCAGCTTAGGTGGTAACAATAAGTAGTGGAAATGGTTTGTGGCCGAGACATTACGGTTGAATTAAGCAACTGCTACGATTTCATGCTTTTTACAGCGTCATTGGCTGATGCTTTTCTGCTTATTATGGCCGAAATGGTCAGTTTGAAGCACACAAAGACGAAGAGTCAAGCTGTATCCATAGGACCTTGGCCGGATAATATGTAAAATGCTGTTAGAAACAACACCATGTGTTGGGATTACGTAAGCCATAATATTAAAACATTAGAATACAATACATTGAAAATCGTAAATGAGTCGTCAATGTACAGGACAATTCAACAAGCTTAGTCATTCAAGAAAACTGCTAAAATCAATGCTTGTGTTGGGTAGGGTTGATAAATACCCTTAACTCCATTTCGCTTAATTTCTTTAAATCTTTTCAGAAGTTCAAATTCGCGCTCGATCGCACAGAACTGACTTGAAAAATTTGTCTGAGAAGCTATCTAGTTGAAGCAAACTACAGATGTGTATATTTGAAATTCAACAAATTTGAAATTGTACCTGAAGGTGTTAGTGTAGGTGTTTCGTTTATAGCTTTCGGAAAAGAATTATCAACCCGCTAAATAGAACGCAACTGGAAACTATCTGCAGCCCAAGGCCGAACGCTACTTCAGGAGATTCGCTTGTATAGCGGAGCCTGATGCTAGCGGAACCAATTTTCTCACTGCGGTCTGGCAAAAACGTACGTGCTTCACAAGCGTAAGCAAAACGTTTCAAATGTTGGTCGCCCTTTAAACCATGAAGGCTCTAAGCTAAACTTAAAGTGTTAACAAGCTATTAGAGGTAGACAAAAAATGCATCTCAATTTTCAATCTATAGTGTTTCAGTGATTCCCTTTCGCTCTATCGTAAAGCTATTTACCTTTAGGCCTAAACTGAGACTGATATCTTTAATGTGAGACTGAAGTTTACAACGTTCTCTAGTTCAGCAAATAGCAAACAAATCATCAATATACAGCATGTACTAGAACGGTAATTCGTTAACAGATTGGTTGATATATCAAGCTGTTGACACTGCTACGGAAAACTGAAATAGTGCCTTACAGAGGCACGTTTTAACTCAGTAAGATCTCTCTTATTAACCGTTATTGCATGCTGTTCTATTGCAATGATTCTATTGTATTCTAACTTCTAAACAATAAATTTCTTAACAACTTGCACCACATTTGTTTCCAATAGATCTTCTTAACATGTACGGACAGTGGCGCCACTGTGTACGGATACACCAACTTACAACTAACATTGTTTATAAAATCTTTCACTACTTCAAAAACATTGCTATTTTGCTAGAACATTCCTTAATAAATTTTATCGATTGCGTATAAATGAAATTTTTTACAGTGAAGGAATAATAAATGTGCTTTCATGTTGATCTTGCCTTGCTAGATCTTGCAACCCTAAATTTTGCACCATTTTCAAAATGAAGATAATCGATCTTTTCACTTTGAAAGTTATTACGTGCTTTGAGGACACTGCCAACTTCTCATCAAATTGCCTCAGAGACAACTGCCAAAGCCTTTATTTTCCATTGATAATGTTCTTACTTTATAGAGACCAACATCAAAATAAACTAAGGAAATTATCAGACTTTAAAGCATTTCAGAGTATAGACTCACATAGAAAAGAAGGAGTCGATGTTATAATGCAGCTGTGAAAGCAAATGCGTCTTTTATAATGCAAAATGGATCAGTTGTAATTCACCCTTTTCATAACTTACAAGCAGGGTTTGTTTTAAAGAATTTTTTCATCACTGCAAAAAACAGCGTAAATGATAATAATTTTTGGGGCAAAATGGGTTCGATATCTAATTTTTTATTATTTCCAGCCTTTCAAATGATTTGTAGAAAAGGACCTCATTTTGTTGAAAAAGTCTTTTTGGGCTTGGGGATCCGAAGATTACTCAAGTTAGGTCATTTTCCAGGGCCACGAATTTGCCTGATCATAAAAATCTATCCGAAACTCTTCTGCTGCTGTCACGAACCTACGCAATTTTTTTGTAACCTGACTGTGTGGTATGTAATAACAAACCTTGCAATCATATAGAGCGGTGTGTCGTTACTACCAGGGGCGCAACCATGGTTGCCGGCGAAAGAAAAGAAAGTCTTTGGAATTTGGATGCTTCTAGTTCACTGGAAAAGGCACTCTTTGCAGCAGATTTTACTAATGCAACCTTACTCAAATGATTATCCACAGCCCGAAAGCTATGGTATACTGTAATTGTTATCAAATCATCATAAAAGATTAAAAACTGTTGTTTGGTTTGCAAATTACGTGGCCTACACCGACAGTGATACATGACTGTACACCTTCTACCAATCTTTTTTGCTGCTGTTCACTAAAAAGATGAATTTAGGGTTGCAGTTCAATGCCAATTGTTATTTACTAATGGGATTGGCAGTGACATTGGGATTAAGAACCCAGTTAATGTTATTGCAATACTGATCATTTCAATAGCTTGCAGCTTCGAGAGGACATATAAAAAATTTCATTGCTGCACAAATGTTTCTTCATCACTGCACAAATTGGTCATCGCTGCACGTTAAATTTCTTCCTGCTTATAAGTAGTGAGAAACCTTGCAAGAGAGATAGCAGCGCAAGAGCACAACTGTTAAATTGCCTATTTCTCAATGTTAGACATTGTAGTTTTTTGCGGTGAATAATTTTTTACTCTGCAATTCTACGTATATCATGTTTATTCCTTCCCCCCCTCAATTGCATATAGCTACATTGTTGCTTCCCCCCTTAATCCAAGAATAAGTTTTCACTGCCCTTTTCCTGCAGGGTTTGGGGCAAAAAGATCTGCTGTCAGACCCAAGCACTAAATCAGGTGACAGTGTCCACAAAGCAGACCACCTCATGTGCAGAAATAACCAAAAGCTAAAACATGACAAGCAAAGCATAGCACTGATGGAAAGCAGTGAGTCTCCTGGAAATTAGTTTGACCTGAAAAGCCACCCCAATACTCATCGTGAATTCTCAATCATAGTGTAATACAGTTTGGATAAAATGACAAATTTCAATTTTCACGAACATTTTTCATGCCCCCTCTTGCTTACTGATAACTATAAATGCAAGCAAATGATTAGCAAATATAACTTGTACTATTGTCCTACATTTGTTTGGGAAACATTGACAATTTAGACCTTAACTGTAACCGATGCCAATGAGGGGCATGGAAGGGCGCATCACCCCCCCCCCCCCCCTTTAAGGCTTTTTGTCGGAAAATCTAAATACTTATCGGAAAGTTTTATGAATCTCTACAAGTCACATCCCAACGACTGGCTGATGATGGCTTTCCATATTTCATTATTAGCAATTTTGTTTTTGATCGATTATTTTATGCTGCATTGGCTGAAAATAGACAAAGCTGGTCCATACGGAATAATGTAGTGGTCCTTTGTATTAAGGATACTATAGGGTTTCTTTTGCAATCCTTTACAGCGGGAAGCATGAACCAAGTGGCAAAACGATAATTTAGATGTATATTAAAAATTTTGGTATATCAGGCACCGCGGAGCAGGGGGTCTGGGGGCATTAGCCCCCACTTTTTGCATGAAATGCCAAATATTAAGTACTAAACTACCAGTAAAGCCTCTTCCCATACGGTTTTAGCCCCCCCCCCCACTTTCTTTAGACCCCCCACTTTTCCCAACGCTCCACGGTGCCTGTTTATAATAAAGTTGTCTCTGCCACCGAAGCACAAGAACCCGTGACACCAGAATGTGTGCAGAGATTGGCAAGCCAAGGGTTGCTTTTTTCGATTCTAGATGGAGTCTGTACAGAAAAAAACCAAATGCTTTCACTTCAGCAAGAAGGTAACTATAGCTTTAGGAAATCTATCTGCATCTAAAATATAGCAAATTTTGTTTTACAGTAGGCTACTAGACCTATATCTAGCAAAAGGGAAATGACAAATAGATACTCATACGTAGTATTCAATTTACCATTAAAGTAAGTAGGGTATGTCGTCGGAAATATTACTACCTACGCCCTCTCCTATACACCACTTCTGGTGTCGGCCCTAGATTAACAGTGCTTTTCTTAAATTCTATCTTTCTAGCAGCTGCTTAAAATTAATGTTAAAACTGTAAGATTAATCAGGATAGGACAAAGTAGGTGCCATTGCCTTCAGCAAAGAAACTGACACTAGTCTCGCTTGTGTCAACATGATTTTCAAAAAGAGGCAGTTACAACATGTTTACTTCTTTTTCACATGTATTAGAAAGCTTTGGACTACTTGTCTATTAGTCAAGAAATTGTGACAAAATGCACACTGATAATGATGATGGTAGACTGGAGGTAAGTAGAAATGTTGAATCGTGTCATCAAGAAATATTTATGCACTTTTTGGTAAAGATCGCAAAATTTTCGGTTGAAGTTTTTATCGGTCTACAGCCGACTGTTTGAGGTGTCAGTGGCTTTCTTTACTTCACATTTCTTTACTTCACAAATTTTTATCAGCCGCACTCCTTTCTGTTCTTCACCAGTTCCAGAGTCGTCGTGTCCCTAATAAGTGTTAATGTTTCAAAAGTATCGACGCTTTTCTTTAGATTCCAGCTAGAATATGATAAGATGTTATAAATACGGAGATTTTTTGACCAGGGCTTCCTTTCTTCATCTTTACATTGCAGTTTATGAACAATCAGTTTACATTTAGGGAAAGCATTTTTCCACAGAAACAATAGTCTCAGCTACTCTTTGCGTTGACTTTAAAATCTTTTGATATACGATAATACTATTTGAAAATTTCGTTTTCTAAATGTGCTGTTTTAACAGGAGAGAGAGAGTGGTGCTCTTCCGCAATAAACAATAAGTTTAACTTTGATAGGTAGAGTTTTTTGCATAGTTCTTAATACACTAGCATCAACCCGACCTAATTAATATATATCAAGTAATCCATCCTTTTAAGTTATCACCCTTATAAATTCTTTGTTGTGTTATGATATTTATTTTTATTTTGATCATGTGCGTTGAATCTGAAAATTGAAACTGAAACTGAAAAAATACTGAACTGGTAAATCAGCTTTCCTGGTGTGGCAACAATTTATCAGAATATTGAAAACTGGGATTGGATTGTTGTTTGCTTGGCATGTGTGTAATAAACATATTTACTCATAACTTCTGTTATGAACTTTATCTCTTTTAATATTTTGGGGGCTTTAATAAATTGTTTTTTTTCAAAAGTTGAACTTCAATCTCTTACTTGTAGAAAAAACATCAACAAAAGCTGCTCCCTCAGAAGACACATCCCTCAGCAAATCAGGTCTAGAAGCTACATTCCCTCATCACAGGAAGCAATGTTGGGCCATTGGTGCATTGGCACAAGTTGCTTCACCTAACCCATACAAAAACCTAAACTTATTAAAATATTAAAGTACAAGCAGCTTAATGCTCTGGGCAGGGAATGGGTATAAAAAGTTCACTTTTCCCCACCATAGAGCAGATGCAAATCCTACCTTAGATACCTAAGATATTAGAGAGGAAGAGAAAACATGACTGAATTAAGAGCTGAGTCTTTCCTAAATGAAAAATAACAAGACCTTTGAAATGAATCCCATAATGTTAATAGGCCCTAGCCTAGTACAAAAGGATTAACAAGGATTTGAAGAAGCACACTATGCTTGATATCAAAAGGGGAGGGAGGGGCAGGAGAGGAGCATGGAAACAGCATACCAAATATGCAGGATAATCCCAACCCGAAGCAGCATACCAAATATATATGCACGATAATCCGACCCAAAGTTCAAAACAATTAAATACACTCATCTGAGTCAAGAGACCCCATACTTTCATGCAGTTGCCCAAACTACAGAACCCCTTCTTCTCTATCATTCCCAATGGCATCAAAGAAGCACACAAGGACTTAAATACCAAACTGAAGCATGAAAATTGACACCCAAATGAGACTAATACAAATAAGCTGAAATAAGAACCTCTAGTGAAATCAAATTCTACAACATCCCTCGTGAAATTAACTCTGATAAAATTTCATTTGATCAGCATATTACTTGTTTCCCAAAGAAGCCCAAACTCATAGAAATAAAATATACTTGATAGTGGTATTGCTGTCAATATTTCTTTTTTAAATAATGAAATTTAGAATATTGTAACTGTCATTAGATAATGTTGCTCATCAACATGCCATTTTTAAAATTTTATACTCATTATCAAAATGCAATTTGATAAAGAGTATATTTTTTAGTTATGTCAGGGAGTTATCAAATAATGGTTTCATATTTATGGATGTCTCTAATACAAGTATATTTCACATCCAATTACCATTTATTTCTACCTTGTTATCAAGCCAACATCTTTGAGAAAACAAAGCATGTCCTCAAGTTATGTGTGAAGGGTCAAGTTGCTAATGAAACACTGATGGCTACATCTTTGAATTTGTGAAGCCATATTTTTTGTTATTGACATTTATCTTAATGTCAAAGTCTCTGTTTAAAACTTTATATGAAATTATTAATTATAAAATTTGACATTAAGATAAATGTCATTGCTAAATAAATATGGCTTCACAAATTCAAAGATTGGGCCATTGTTGTTGTATTAGTAGCACTTCAGCTAGGGGACTTTGATTTGATGCAGAATACTCATGTTGCCATATTTTAAAAACATCCACATTACTCTCAGGTGACTTTGTGGCCTTGTGCATCAGACTTGGCTAAAGAAGTTGCTTCTACTATAATGAAATGATATTGCTTGTATTTTTAAGTTATTTGAAGTAATTCTTCTTCTAGGAGTATGGACAAATGATGTATAATCCTGGGTTTATGCAAGAAATGGGATATCCTCCTGAAGGTTGTTTATTTAGTGTATGGTTTTATGTTGACTCTTTAATAAACAGAAGATATGTTGGATGTTGCTAATATATGCTAATATATGTTAAATATGCTAATATATAAATATGTTGGATGTTGATGTGTATTACCATGACATTTGTTTTAAATATATATAGATATATATTTAGATATATATGGTTGTTTTCACCTCAACTACCTGTTTGTAGTTTATAGATATTTGGTGGCTCTTCAATACATTTGAGAAGCTAAGCAAGACTGGTTGTGTTTACCATCAATCTTTCTTCTGGCATAATTGTAACTCATTTCCACAAAAATTTGAAGCAATAAAATATATTTCATCTTCTTTTGATTACAAATTTTTGCCAGTTATCAAAGCAATTTTCAATGCCTTTAAATGCTAAAATATAATTTTTGAAACTCTATTCTTTTAAAGGAGATGTCCAATCATATATCATGCCTCCCGAAGTGAAAACCTTTTTGGTGTATTTTCGAAAGCAGATAATGGACCAGGTAACAATATAGCATTTTCTGATAAAACAACCATTTTGTCTTATTTTGATCTTTTCATCTTATTTCATTCTACACATATAATGCATCCTGATAGCTAAATGTTAATATTGTCAGTCAGATCAACAATTTTCATTTAAAGGCTGTATTAACTGTAGAACAAATTAAATTAAAATTTAGCCATTGTGTTGAGATAAGAACCTTCACATAACAACTTCTCCAGCAATCTAAAACTCACTTTCATATTTTTGAGAGGCTACAATGATGAAGTACTAATAATAAAGAGTTGAATAGGATTTTTTTGTCAAATTGATAACATTTTGTAGCTATTGACAAAATTTATTTCTTTTTCCTGATAAACTCTATTATGATGCAATAAAACAAAACAATTGGGAATACAAGTTTTGTCCATGTGCAACATTTTTTAATTCGATAAAAGCAATGTTTGCACTGGTAGTGTGGATCATAACCACCTATATCTAAACAAAATTTTGCTGAAATCTGTTGATCTGCAAAATGAATTGGCTTTCTTGTGAACCATAATACAACAAAGTGTACAAGCAAGAATTTATAAAGAAAAAGGGGCCATAAATTAGTTTTTGGTAAATAAAAAACATTGATCAAGAAGTTTTGCCAAATATTAAGTTGCCATTTTTATGATATTGAAGGGCAATTTGGAATCCAACTAAATCATTATAATTTTTCTTACAGAATGTCTATGAAATTCAATCAGCATATGATATCAGGTAAGTTATGGTTTGGAGAAAATTTGTTTTTCTTGCTCATGCATCTAGCTCCTAACTATCTTCAGTAAGCATTGATAATTTTGTTTATCAATTTGAATATTCCCAGATCCAAATAGAAAATATGCTGCAGTTGTTACAACTTATACTTTATTTGTAGCTTTAATGGTTTGACTGAAATCTACTTTCAAAAGTCACCTTGGCCAGACCCAAAGTATATAGCACCTCTTTGTCGCAATGGTATGTATGTTTATCTTATACAAATATTTCTGTTAAATAAAATTTTAAAGAGAGCCATTAATATTCAATATTTTTATTGCTTTGTTACAGGTAGGTCAATTAGGAGGCTTTTCAATTTATATTGCAAAAGAAACCTGGCTAGGGTTTTTATGACTCAGTTGCTAGGGTTTTTATGACTTGTGTCTTCTTCTGCTAGCTTTTTGATAGGTATTTTATTTTTCCTCTTAGATGAGATGTTCATCATCCTATATAAAGAGCTATATTACAGGCACATCTATGCAAAGTTGTCGGTATGCAACATTCTGTGGTTTTTCAAAATGCTTCATATTGAAATTGTGTTTTTCAATTAATTGTAATTGTAGTATCCAATTTTGGAACTATGTAAGAATCAATGGTAAATATTTGTTTTGACTTAGACATTAGTTACAGCTGTTTTATATAGATTTGTATAAGCACATAACTCAACTGAATCACTTAGTACCATATCAGTCAAAAATTTTGTTATTGTTTCCAGGTGAAAAATTAGATTAGAATTACCAAAAAGAATAACAACTTTGAAATAGTGATTTATACACAGGTTAATGAAAGTTGCATGTCCCATTTTTCAAGAATCCCCAGACAAATTATGTTTTTATTCATGTTTTAGCCCTCCCTGGAACACAGAAAGGATTCCTATTATAACTACTGCCAACTATTCAACTACATTTTAAGTGAGTATCATGATCAGGAAATGTCATATTTTTGACTACCTATTGTCTTACTAGATTAGGAATTTTTAGCAACAAGCGATTTTACAGCTAGTTTTTATTTAAGATTCAGCCATGATTTGATTTAGTTAATACTTTGTCTTTGCTTCCCTAAATTTTGAGAGTTTTGCTTAAAATATTTTGTATATAATGATCAATGTCATAAAAAGACTATTAACCAGTCTGTTGTAAAGTAATCAGTTGCTCTATAGGCAGAGCTGTACATGAGCAACAATTAATACAATTAAATAATGACTTCGTACATAAATGAAAGATAAGTACAACCTTTTGAGCATAACTCTTCTTCAGGTAAAAAGAATACATGGAGTACTGGTTAAAAAAAGAGTAGAAGAGTAGAATAAAAAACTATTATAACCTCGGTACTTATCTTTGATTCGTGTACAAGGTGGCTATTTAATTGTATAAATGTTTGCTCATTACTTGACGCATAACACGCTGAACTGCATTGATTATCAAGAGCTGCTCATGCTGTAGGTGTATATATAAAGGGTAGCAGTTCTAAGTATCTACTCTTAGTTTCTCGCTTAATGCCATGATCAGACAACTATTATGTCCAGTTTCTTTAGAAATAGTAATAAATGGTTAGTCAGTTATAACATCGAGGATTGCTCACAGAATTTTTACTCTTCATTATTTACACAAATTATTTGAATTATTTTGTTTTGTTGTAGATGAGTCTGAGCCAGTACCCCTTGCTCTTCCAAACCAATGGCTGTGGGATATCATAGATGAATTTATTTATCAAGTAAGTCCTTTGATTAATACTTGTCACATGTTTTATATCTGTTTCGGTATATTTGAAATTATTTCAATAACTTTGATCATTACTGTCAATCAAAATCTCTAAAAAAGTTAATTTGCCTACCTCAAGATCCTTTTCCCTTTATAATCATCGAAGATTAGGCCAAGATTTGTTAATTCTTGCGTTTAATCATTAAACAAGTTTTTAATTTCTTTTGTGAATTATTCAATTTTGAGTTCCTTTTCCCTCCTACCATTTGATTTTTCCAGTATTAGTAAACAACAATTGGTTAATGATAAAGTGAAAATTGTCTTTACAGTTCCAGTCTTTCACTCATTACAAAGCAAAAGTGGCAAAAATGCCTGAGGAGGATAAAATGTCGTTGAAGGAAGATCAAAACAAGGTAACATTTATTTGATGTCAAAGTGTTTAAAAACTAAAGAGGTTCTGGAACTTTGTTTTCAATAAGATATGACAAATTCGGTTTGGAAACAGCAAATACATTTATTCAGTCCATAGAGGTTGATACCATGTTTGCATGATACAGACCATGTTTGTTTAGAAGAAGAAGAAGGAATATGGGCAGCCATGTGGTGGGTAGAAAGATCTTTGTCATTTTGCAAACTGACCAAGCTTCACCAATCAGGTGACTGAAGTTGCCAGCTCTGGAAAGTCTCATTCGATGTCAAATAGAAAATATATTTATTTGAATAATAACATTCAGGTCCGGTTGTCCTCCATGCATACTACATTGTGAGAGATTGTTGGTTTTGTCACTTGTCCTGCAAAAGTGAAGCACCTGCTAGAAATTCACATGGCAGCTTTAATCACTCTTAAGTCTGAAATTATTGCTTGTTTGTTTACTGGGTTAGTTGATACACTTTTTAAGGTTGTTATAATGATTCATTCATTTACTGTATTTTTTCATAATTATTGCTCAACATAGCGTTAGCTTGAGCAGCTCATTTTCAGGGATGTGAACACTTGTTACTCCATATGCAATTTATAACCGAAGACTAGATTATATAACTAAAATTTAAAATCTTTAGCTTGGTTGAAACATCAGTTTTTTTTAGTTTTTTGCACATAAACCTGATAAACCAATATTAATAAGACAAAAACCGTAAATTAAATGCCACATGATTTTTGACTAGGTCAAACAGGATCATTTAGATTAAAGCGATTTTTATCTACCCTAAACCAGCTTCGCCTGCCCTAAACTGGCTCCTGCTAGCGCCTGCCAAATGAAATGGTGCCATGGTTCACAAAGTGTTTGTTATATAAGCCTATTGTTAAAGTATTAGCCAAGTGCCGTTCATAGCAAAAATCAGGTATCTATTTCTGCTATTGTCGCCAGAGAATGTTGTATTTTGTTTTCGTTTTTAACAGTGATAAAAAAGCAATTTTTCCTTAGATATGGAATGTACACAGTGTGTTGAACGTGCTGTACTCTTTGGTTGAAATATCAAGAATCAACGAGCAACTTGAAGTGTATGCTGCAGATGGCGATCCAGACACTGTCGCAGGGGATTTTGGGAAACTGCCGCTGTACAAGATGTTCGGCTATTTCAGCTTAATTGGTTTGCTTAGGCTTCACTCCCTGCTTGGAGATTATTACCAGGCGATAAAAGTGTTGGGAAATGTTGATCTTCACAAGAAGGTATCGTTTCTTCCTAAAACTTTAATCTCTTTGTCCTGTTTTCTTTCTACTTAAAGATGTTTCTGCATAATATCGAGGAATACGATGATGGGGTCAACGTCTTTGAAGTTGCTTGCAGCCATTGCTTACAGCATAATTGACTTTGCTTCCAGATGGCCAGTTTCAGTCCATCAGCCTCTTTTCCCATCAAAACAATAGAACGCTCGAGTTTATTCGCTCTTCCATATGGATGTCACACACCACGCTCGTCTCGTGTATATGTTTATCCTTCACACACCCAGATTATTCAAATTCACAACGGTGTTTTTAACCATACCTTACTAGGAGGTGAGACACGCCCTTTTTCTAAAAGGAACTCCAAAAAAAGATGGAAGATTGTGTGAAATAGGAGCATGCTTTTCTCGCGTGTTCTTTCATAAGAACCAGAGCAAAGTCGGGATTACAGAATTCAAATATGTGAAGCAGAAAAAAGACAGTTTCTTGTGAGCTGTAGGTCGTTAAACAGATAGAAAAAATTGAACTTAAAAATGACTTTTCATGGTGCACTTTTTTCATATTTCTATAACTAGCCATTTACATTGTGTGCTTTTTACTCTTTTTAGCCGTCGCTCTTCCTGTTTCTTTTGCTTCATGTACAAGTCGTTGTCGAAGATCTATTTATTTGAATTTATGCGTCTTGTTTTGATTCATTATTTATAAGTCATTGTTTGTGGAAACATTTTATTCAAAGGAGCCGTTTTTCTTAAAAAGTAAGAATTTACGACTCATTAACTACACAAAACGAGATTATTTTTCTGCTAAGTTAAGAAAGATGCTAATTTTAGGAAGTTGTCATAAATTTCCCTGAATCACTGCTGTAATTTTGGTGGATCATTGTCATAAATTGTAGCTCCAGCCCTAAATTATGGCCTAATTATCAACACAATTTGTCTGATGTAACACGAGCAGCACTGTGAGTTTCAAATATTTTAAAGAAATTTCGATAATTGGGCGTTGCGTTACGGCAAAATGGAGGTTTCTATTTGCGAATGTAATGTCAATTGGAAGAAGGCTGAAAAAAGATGCTGATCAATTTAATTCCTCACATTTATCTATGTGAATAATTCACATGAATTATAAATGCGTAAACCATGAGCTATGAAACTTTTTAATGTCCTTACGAGACACGCTTTCTTCCTTGTAATGAGATTTCTGCTTTTTATGAAAATTTTTCTCGCCTGTGGCCTATATCAGTTTAAGCTCAAGGTTCTAGATTCTACTTCGTTCTGAGATTGGTTTAGTTCAGCCTATTAGTAATCTGCGGGTTTAAATTGATACTCGAATAAAGAAGAACGAACCCAAAAAGACCCTATATAAGGCCTCTTCTGTTTTAGTCATTCCAGATATTTTTCATAATCCGTTGTGTATATATAAAGGCAGATGTATTTTCGTTTAGACAAAATTTTGATCATGATCGTATCATCTTGCCAGGCAAATGGCAAAGTCTTTCATAAAAAATTTAAAGCTAAGGAATGAATGCTAGCTACAGAGGATAGGCAAAGCTTGTTTACTTGCTGTCAATAGTCACTACTCTGTACGCAAATTATTTCACAGTACATATGGATTTTCATTGAAAGGGCTATTGCCATGTCTTTGTTTCTCAATGCAATTTAGAGATGGATGCAATTTCCCACTTATTTTTCTCTTACACGCGAAGCATTTCGAAATAAATGTGTGTTTTGGTGAACTATAAGTTTTAAGTTTGTTTGAGTAGGCAGAACAAGACAAGGATTAACTTACTTAAAGCACTCATGAACATTCAGATGGTTTTCAACGACATTTTCAACCGAATTAAAGTTAATAGCTTCTGATTCTATTTTTACCGACTGTAAAAGTTCACTCAAGAGGGTAAAGGGGCAGCAGTTTTTAAAGTATCAAAAGAAAATAAAAAATAATCACGTGTCATATGCCCCTTTATTAGTTAATGGTGCCCTGCCTTGCTCATGTCATATTTTAATGTGTCATTTTTTTTCATAGACCTTGTATTCTCGAGTCCCAGCATGCCAAGTCACAACTTACTATTACGTTGGTTTTGCCTACATGATGATGCGTCGCTACCAGGATGCAATTCGAAGTTTCACAAATATTTTGCTGTACATCCAAAGGGCTAAACCAGCCTAACCCAGTCAAAATCTTACCAGTTCGATCAGGTAATGGTCACGTTTGCTTGTGTGTAAATGATTGTTTGCTTGGGTTCAATTTTAGCTTTCTTTACCAGTATGGTCCGTTTACTTAAGTTAGTTTGTTTTATTAAATTCGAGACGAGTGCCTTGCCACGTTACCTTGGGTCTTCAACATTGTTTTGGCATTTCGCTAGAGGTTTTACGAGGATTTCTGTTCAAGGTGGTTTTTCGTAATAGAAATTTGACTCTGAGAAAGACTGCTCTAGTGGGCTGTCTATATTCACTGTAGGGGGGTGAATTCAATTCGAGACGAGTGCCTTGCCACGTTACCTTGGGTCTTCAACATTGTTTTGGCATTTCGCTAGAAGTTTTACGAGGATTTCTGCTCAAGGTGGTTTTTCGTAATAGAAATTTGACTCAGAGAAAGACTGCTCTAGTGGGCTGTCTATATTCACTGGAGGGGGGGGGGGGGTGAATTCAATTCGAGACGAGTGCCTTGCCACGTTACCTTGGGTCTTCAACATTGTTTTGGCATTTCGCTAGAAGTTTTACGAGGATTTCTGCTCAAGGTGGTTTTTCGTAATAGAAATTTGACTCAGAGAAAGACTGCTCTAGTGGGCTGTCTATATTCACTGGAGGGGGGGGGGGGGTGAATTCAATTCGAGACGAGTGCCTTGCCACGTTACCTTGGGTCTTCAACATTGTTTTGGCATTTCGCTAGAAGTTTTACGAGGATTTCTGCTCAAGGTGGTTTTTCGTAATAGAAATTTGACTCAGAGAAAGACTGCTCTAGTGGGCTGTCTATATTCACTGGAGGGGGGGGGGGGGTGAATTCAATTCGAGACGAGTGCCTTGCCACGTTACCTTGGGTCTTCAACATTGTTTTGGCATTTCGCTAGAAGTTTTACGAGGATTTATGTGCAAGGTGGTTTTTCGTAATGAAAAGTTGGACTCACAGAAAGACTGCTCTAGTGGGCTGTCGGTATTCACTGTAGGGGGGGTGGTATATTCAATATAGGATGGTTTGTCAAATACGTGTGCTGAAAATGGCAAAAACCTTTTCTGAACCACATGATAAATGCTTCTTGAAAATATCTGGTTGTTAAAAGCAGCTATTTGCTTAAAGACCTAATGACATTGTATTATGTTTATAGTGCTTTTTACTAAAAAGTGAAAAAGTTAACTAATGTAGTTCATGCAGGATTTAAGTGAAAATGCAAAAGCTTTCCAACCTTGAGAACCCTGCACATATAAATACGTACGATTGTATGCCAGTAGAGACCTGAATTCAGTGTCACTGATTAGTACAAATATGACATTACTACGAATTTCCTCTGGCTTCAAATTTCAACTTTGATTCTGTTCTTTTAGATGATGAAAAATAATGAAAAGATGCACAATCTTCTTTTGATTTGCCTGGTTTTGTGTCCACAGGTGAGCTCGTTAATTATATTGTACCCGTTTTGAAAAGCATTCAGTCCAGTAGAGAAAACAGCTCAGATTTTATGTTTTCCAACACCTATTATTTTTGTAAGAGGGAATTCAGCAGAAACGTGTACCGTCGACTACGTTACAATCTGCTTCAAGTTATCACATCCACCCTTGCTGATATCAAGATATATTCGAAAATCGAAACTGAGAATATCATAGCTAATTTTCACTTCACAAGCAATTAATGGATGCCGTTAAATGCATATTTGCGTTATCGAGTATAACCGTGATGACAGCCAATAATCGTTGCCAAAAGTCTAAGAAAACGTACGTCAGACGGGAAGATTAGGCAAAGTTAAGCCTTGCTCTTGTCCCTTTTAAGACAATAAAATAGCTTGTTTGATATTTGCCTAACTATTTTGCCTAACTTGAGTAGAGAATCTGTATTATGCTACGTTAAATTCGTTCAACACTTTTTTCCTTTATAAAAAGCTATTTTGTTCATATAACTCTTGTTATTATCAACCCAGAGAATCGATGAAAGTATTCATCAACAACTAAGAGAAAAGTTTGGTGACAAGATGAATAAAATGCAGAAAGGGTATGTATAGCTATTGATAATTATTTTCCTAGAGGTAATACAGAAACATTTGATTCATGTACTTACAGCAATCTGGCTTTTTTCTTTCTTTTCATTTTACGTATTTATTCTTGCACCTTCCATCAGCGTCTGAACTTCTTGCTCCTTCCCCCTTTAGCAGATTTCTTAGATTCCATGGTTGTGGCATAACATTGTGTTGCTCCTTCATCTCTTCTAACCTGCAAAATAACGTTGATTGATTTAAAGGCAAACTCGATAGCTGCATGGCTTTATTGTTTTGCTAAGAGGGCTTCATCTTCACCCCATGGAAATCTGCATTACTCGATATCTCTAAAGCACATCGTTATATTGCAGGGACAAACAATGCTTCGAAGAATGCTTCTCATTCAGCTGCCCGAAATTCGTCTCCCCAGTGCCAACAAACTATGATGCCCCGCCTACAAACACACATCTGGTAACTGAATTATGTTTTGATTGTTTTGAAATTATCAACATTTCATCTTCCATGCAAAAATTTCATGGCTACGTATCTTAACTAACATTAAATTCCAAATTTTGGCAACACTGTTATCTGAATTTGTAGTTACAAACATTGATCTGGACAGACTGTTTCTGACAGGATTTTTTAGAAATAAACCTGAATATTAGCTGTTAGCCTCAAGTTTTTGAAGATCGTTAGTTCAGGCCCTATATAGTATCCTTTTTGAGTTCCATATAGTTTTCTTTTAGCGATGTAAAATTCTATTCGAAATAATAACACAGTTCCCTATGAATTACCAGATTGAATCTGTAATGTTTGTTATTTTTTTAACAATTAAAAATGTGTAGTTTTGAGTCAAATTTATTGGATTTATGAATGACAAAACCACAACTGCGTGGAAAAAGTATTTACCATGCATTGCTGTTACAAGTCTAGAACAGGTCAGTTTCAAAATTTTGAAAAAAAGATATTTCTAAAGACCTTTTTACAAAGGACATAAATGGTAAGGATCTTTTCAACAGCATTTCACACTTCGCTGGCGCTACATGGCTGAAATCCAACTTCTAACGTCATAACACAAAGACCAGTAGCTTTATTTACAACGTAGAATAGATATAGAAAAAGTTTATCCTTAATTGACTGTGCTTCTCATTGTACTGATAAAACGTGTTTTTTAAAAACTGAGCTCTTTTTAGGTGACGTTCAACTTGCAACTTAAGATGTTTAAAAACGAAATTGAGCAACAAATTGATATACCAGTTATAAGGAGGTAAGTGTATGCTGTTTTGAGGATAAACACAGAATTTCTGTGATTGACAAAAGTGCTATCCGGGCAGATTCTGTGGCGTACTTGATAGCAGTGTTGCCTTTTGCCGCTGTGGACAGACATCTACTGGGCTTCAAGCTTTACTTAAGGAACATACGAATCAGCAACAAGGTTAGGGATCAGGTACCTTGAAGCCAAAAAAGGAAATTATAATGGATTGTGACGAAGTATGTTGATGCAACGCTATGAAGTCTCATTTGTAACCACAAACTGACTTGAATAATAAAACAAAATATACAGAGATGAAGAGTCATTTTGAAGAAAACACAATTCACTCAGTGCAAGATGATGCTAAAATTTTTTCCGGAGTAATGTACGCTATAACAGAGAATTAGCTTCCTGTTAATCGTCACGAAACTTCGAAATCACAAGATCCGCTTTGAAAGGTTTAAAACTTTTATTGCAGTTTCTTGAAGCTCTACACAACGATGCCAATATCAAAGCTAGCAGCCTTCTTGGAAGTTGTGAGTCACGCCTCATTTTTTTTAAATTGTTTTTTTAATTTACAATGATGCTCTTTAATTTAAAAAATAAATATTTAAAAAATATAGAAAAACGATAGAAAAATAAATACAGATCGATGAGTAAATCTGAATTTATTTTGTACCACTGTATGCCAGAGACACTGTTTAATGATTGCCGTTCTTTTTGGACAGGACGAAGAAACTCTGCGAACTAAACTGCTATGCTACAAGGTAACTTTTTATGTTTCTTCTCTTCAACCCTGTTTATCATGCTATCATATGGTTAATACATTAATTCTTGTTTGCGGGTGAATACATGATGAAATACGATATTCCTTTGTACGCACTGGTGGAGGTGCTGCTTCTCTATTTTGTCAACTGTAGGATGAAAACTACAATCGAGCACAAATTTTCTAGGGTTTATTTTGTGCTTCAGTATAATGGAATCAATTGAGAGATGGCGTCATTACTTAAAAAACTTTTTTGAAAAACTGTACTTTTCTGAAAAACTGTTCTTTCCAATGTCTCTCCAATTCGAATGACTAAGCAAACTTTTTTGTTATACTTTATAAACGTATAGCAAATTATTAAAGGTTGTGATGAAGAAGTTTTCAGCTATGTATTTTCTATTGACCTCTAAATGCGATAAACAATGAGAATGTCTTTATGCTATAGTTTTTCTTTTAGCCTTTACTATATTATCTATTGTGGCACCCCTCTGTTTTGTCTACAACATATTAAAATTGAATCTAATTTTCCCCATGCTTCTTCTTCATTTCATATAAATTAAAACAAGATTGACAACGTTGATTCCTTGATTTTCAGCATAAACAGAGGAACATGGTGTGGACAAAAGGAACTGATGCACTCGAAGGCGAGTTTCAATCTTCCTCAGAAGTTGACTTCTATATTGATCAGGTGAGTATCTACAATAAACAGCGTTTGTTCACCCCTAATGCACTGAGAAATTGAAGTTGCTTTAACTCAAATATCCTCAAGATGAATATCTCCTTCTTCGTGTTATTGGTTTCTAGTCAATAACGGCTTGTGTAAGAAAACTAAACAACTTTTATCATAATGATAATTTTTTAATTTTATCATAATGATAATTTTTTGATAGACAATGAGTTATTACTCTCCAACGAGTATCATAAAGTAAGCCAGAGTAATAATCTCCCCCTCACATCACATTCAAGGGTTATGTCTTTTTTGGTTCAGACAACTTCCTTTCTTCGTTATTACGTATCAACTCTTTGAGGATGTTTACCATGTGTAAAGATATGAGGCAATACATTGCCACTCAATTTTCAGGACATGATCCACATTGCTGACACCAAGGTTGCACGAAGATATGGGGACTTCTTTATACGTCACATTGGGAAAATTGAAGATGTAAGAATCCTAGCCCTCACTTTAGTTTAAAGCTTTATCTAATCCTGCATGATTACTTTATTTTTACGCTCCATTTATGCATGATGCCTTTGTCGCATTCTAGATCTTTCTTGATTATCGCAAGGCATGTTATTTTGTCACTATCAGAGCAGTGGATCTGTCGTAGTGTTAGCATATTTCAAACCAATCAAAATCATCAAGTTTGTACTTTTCGTTTTTAAGCGACTTGTTAAAATAGATTTACACTGAGATCTGCTTTGTTTGTTTTTAATGATGCTCTCTAGGACAAGTTTGCTATTTTTCTTTAACGAGAAACAGCTGCTTAGCATTTTAACCAACGCTACAAATAATTTTCTCTTACTCTAGCTGAACCTCAATGTAAAAGCTCTGGGTTCTACGAAGGCATGAAAATTTCGAAAGTCACAGTAGCATGGACGACAATATTGAAGTTGAACAAATATTTATGACAACAAATGTTTAAAGGTTGCGTCTTTTCTCCAGTCTCACTCTAATCGTATTTTGGAAGTTCCGGATTAAAGAATCGTCCAATACATGTAAGGATCTTTTTCGAACACTTTTAGTTACGAAATTGAAAGAAACCACATAGGGCTTGAGGATGAGACACCAACAAAATGAACCATCCTAACTAAATGCAAGGCCTGTTAGACCTTTGTCACAAATTAGCTTTGGTAGAAAGCGTCAACAATACGTAGAGCAGCGAGATGAAAATTTGCACAAATCTCCACTTTATAATACTTTATAATCTACAACGTTGGTAGTTTCTTAATATGTTGGGTAGCTCTTATCATAGCTCTTTTATCAATCTTTTCAGGAGGGCATGCCCTTAAGCAGAAACTATTTTTCCTTAAATTATTTAGGGAGGATGCCGTCTTAGTGTAGGTGGAAAGGCTATTCTTTTTCTCCCCGGATGGAAAAGCATTTCCCCCATTTTCTGACTGTTTCTCTAGCGAACCTAGATCTGTCACTGTATTACGTAAGCTACGGGACGATTTTCTAGTGAAAGGTTACACAGATAATATTTTACACAGGAAAGGCTTTGAAAGCATTCAAGATCCAGGAAAAACCAAAGGCACTCCTCTAAGGAGTGAAGCGTTTGCAGAAAAGTAGCTTTATTTAGATTGGAGGTACCTGTGCTAAAAAACCTTTCATCTGAGTTCCCAAATGAACTAAGAGTCGGCTGTTACGTTTACAGCCAAATGATGTTGAATGATCATCTTTCAAAGCTAAAAAAAACTCTCCTTCGAAATCACCGCGCGTTATAAATAAATAGCTACCTGAGAAGTCAAAGTCACCGCGTTACCTTAGAACATCACCGCAACAATATATGCGGCTCGGAGTTTTTGCGCTTGGTATCTTCTTAGGCCGGGCAAATAAAGCCGCTCTATTTTTGAGGCTCTATACTCTTGGGATTTTGAAGTTCTATCCTCTTGGGATTAACTTATCATAGCCGTCCGTTTAATTTGGTAAAAACTCCGTCTTGTCCATGAAGTCAGCTGAAAGTACCAGGATTTTTATATCCTAAGCCTTGACTAGAATATAGCAGGCAAGATATCAGAATCTGAATCTTAAACAACTTTACTATTTCTTATCCCTGTTACTTAAATTCTTATAATGATAGGACTCAAAAACGACTTACTAAGTGAATATTACAACGTTTTGGACAAGAATTGAACCTGAAAACTGAACACATTCGTAACAGACTGAAGGGGCTACCGTGCCTAATTAACAAAATGAACTATCAGCCACTGATACGCTTGGCAGGAATCTAAAACAGATATGAAAGATTCAAGAACTATTATGCGACAAAGGAAGGTATTATTGTGTCCTATAACTCCATAGTAATCCAGATACTTGAGAGCGAAAGAGGATTGTATCTCAACACAAAGAATTGCGACTTATGCACATATGGTTATGAGGTTGAACTATTACGAGGTTGTAGTTACGTTAAGCCTACTACACGGGTCTTAAGAGTCTTAGAACCCATCCAATTCAATATAAATGTTAAGCAGAGTCCAGAAAAGTCCCTTCTTGCTCAGGTCAAAACCGTTCCCCGTCAAAACCTTCCTCCAATTTTTGAGGCAATAACCTTTTTAGGGCGTGGCTAGGGCGTAACTAGGGTGTGGTAAGAGATTAGATAGGGCATGAATAAGGGGTGACAGACGTTAACATTCTGCTTCGATATAATTTGAAAGTAAACAGCAAAACAAAGCAAACAGAAATTTTTCGAGGAGACAGAAACACAGAGCGATGGAGGACAGTTAAAAAGCTTGGCTCTCTGTTAGGTGATACGGAAGATATACAAAGAAGAAAACAGTTGTCGAAAGCATCCATGAATAGATTAAATCACATATGGATCAGAAAAGACCAGTCAGCGAAAAACTTCGCCTCAAGCTTTGCAGAACACTTGTAAAACCAGTTTTGATGTATAACAGCTCTACTTGGGGACTGACACAAAAAGATACGAAAGGCCTAGATGCTTTTCACAGACAGCAACTGAGACAGCTAATAGGAAAAAAGTATCCTAACAAGATCTCCAATCAGAACTTGCACGAAAGATGCGAAGAAGAACCAATTTCAGTTGACATCCTCAAGGGTAGATGGCGGCTGTTTGGTCACATATTACGTTTGTCCAACGATACACCGGCTGTGAAGGCAATGAGATTTTACTTTGAGGGATCGGAGAGGGGATTCAGAGGCAGACCTAGAGAAACTCTCGTGACAACCTTAAATAAAGATATCACCAGAGCAAGAGCAATGGAAAGGTCTTTTCCACTACCGAACATAAAGAACAATGGAGATTTTGAAAAGATACGATCCACAGCAAAGAATGGAGAAGATTATCAGAAGTAGTGTGCAGAGCTGCAGAAGCAGAAACAACATGAAACCTTCATGTCGGGACTGCGCAACTGCAATTATAGACGTTACAAATCGAGGCAACATGTGTTTAGGTCGATGGAAATTTTCGTTTATGATAAAATTTAGCTGGAATAACTTTCAAAACATCAATGCTCGTGAATAATATTTCTTTTTAAATGTTGAACTATAAAGCCGATTTCTTTGACCACCAAAATGTCGATCCAGGGCTGATTCTAAGAGGTCATTGATGCTATCAACAGGAGTCCATTCCAATGGAGGAGACTTTTACATCAAGTCCCCTTTTTTTGTCTCAGTAAAAGTCGATAATGTTTATTTTTTTAACTAATGCATTAGGTTTTTTAACTAATTCGAAAATGATTGTTATAAAATAATTGCGCCTTTTGGACTTCTCGTGCACATTAGGTTCAGCATAGACTTTATTTCACAGGTTCTTTGCACCAAGTTGCCTAAATTGGTTTTTAAAAGAAAACCTTCCTCCAGACGTCTATTGTTTCTCAAACCTTCCTCCGGTCAATGACCGTGCGACCTTAATGTTTTCTTATCAAGACATATTCTAGCTGTCGAATGACTCTGAGGTATTAATCATGCAAATAATATAGCTTTCTTTGCATCCGATTATGATGGGCTGCCATCGGACTTGAAGCTAAATGGTGCAAAATGTGATTCTTTATTCGAAGGTAGATACCAGGAAACTTTCACGTATACTAACAAATAATGTACGGAACAATATGAAAAAGCTCTTTGGGATAGCACTTGATAGGAACTCAGTCAAAATTGGAGAGTAACGAATGCCTTTACAATGTCTAGTTGATCTATTTTCCTTTACTTTGGATATTTGATGATAAAAATGTGAACAACAAATAAATTAACAAGAAAATGCATTAACAAAACTTTCAAGGAAATGTCATCAAATTTCGAAGAACAAATTTAGACCAAGGTAAGTTCAATTACCATTCACCAATGAAATCTGCAACTGCTAACATCAATCAATAAAATCTTCGTTCAGAAAATGATCTAATTTAGACTGAGAAGTAGGGACAACTTGCCACTACCGATTCAATCCATAAATGCATACAACTCTGACCTCAAGCCTCTAACCTCAAATGTAAGTTGTTTTTATAACAACATCATGGTTACATGGCAATGGAAATTGGTTTTACTAACAGTTTACTTCAGCAAACATTGCTTGTGAATGCATCAATCGAAAGAGCTCCTTGAAAGATTGCAAAGTATGTACGTTTTATTGCCATTTGATTAACAAGGGTTGGAGATGGAACCATTTGCTCATAAAAGCTATCTAAAATTACGTAATCAGTCACGTGACAACAAAAGGTTTTCTGAAAACGCAGAAATCAAAATATTCAAGTAAAGAACTTAGTCTAACATGATTTGTTGATATGGCATAATTTATCATATTTAATAGACTCTATGTCATGTCTGCCTGTATCGTGAGTTTTAGTAGCAAGACCAAAATACTGAGAATCGGCGAAGGGGAAAGCCTGTTTTCATTTGCAATTCTTAACAAATTGTACTGATTTCTCACATTTAGAGGTATTTCATAGTCCAGTTTCAGCTTACTTGGACCCAATTCTAAGATTCTAAATAAAGTTTAATGAAATCATCACATTATGAGCCATTTTTGCCCGTTTCATAGAAATATGAAAAATAAAATGGGACAAAATCAAACCAACAATGTTAGTGAGATTGAAAGGTGGAAATTGCATTTGGCAAAAAATGACAATGCAGCTAGGTGATTTGCAGAGGACATCTGAACTTAAAAGAAAACCGTGGTCGAGTGGGTGGATAGTGGTTACATCATTGCTCATTAGGTATTTATGTAGCTATTTAGGTATAATAAGCTATTTTATAGAAAGCTATTTTTAGACTAGGGTACCTTATTCAATCCCTTCTTGGTCTTCATCTTTATCTTTTTTCACATGCTGAATAAGGTGAGATTCCCCTAAAATCGCCCCACAAGCTTTGTAACCAAAAGAAGCTGATACTAGAATGTTTGTCTCCGTGAAGAGTATATGGAAGAGTCCCGATCAGTACGGTTGACACTGATTTTATCATGATAGCAATTTTATCGTTTCGTCAGCTCAGTTTAGTAAAGCTTTGGATCGATTTTGGGACAAGAAAAAAAAGATATTGTTACCCATCCATGATTACCCACTAGACGAAAGGGTTCTCTTTGGTATCCTATTTTGGTACGTGTTTACTGGCTGCGATACAGTTTCTTCATTTTGTGGAAGAGGCAAAACATTTTTGGAAGATTTTTCTTCAGGTAACGGTAGATTTCGTTGCTTTTTCAAGTGTTACTGATCAGTGGCGTAACCGACGTAGGTTGGGGTTTGAGCAACTCCAAAGGGTCCCCTAGGAGGGGCCCCGTAAAGGTTTTCACAATAAAGGTCTGTTTAGTTAAAGTGAAAACTAATTTGAGAAACAAAAATTCTTCAGGTAACATGTTACATAAAGACACTAAGTTTGCCAAAACCAGTGGTATCCTTTTTACTGGATTGTCATAAATTGCACAATTCGAGGTTGAGCGGCTGCATTATTGGAGCTTCTTATACACAGGGATCGA